TGCCACTAACAGAACAAACAGAAAATGTTGCATATCTGGCTGATTGATAAAGACTGATTGATATTGTATTTTGTTTTACTCACATTCGAGAAATTTACAGTTATTTTGATTATCTGTTTTATTATTTCTTTTAAAAGTCAAAAGATCGTTATATATCGTGATATTAAAAAAAAAGAATAGAGTTCCAATGTAAAGTATTATAACTAAATTACTTGGAGACTGAAACTTTCAGACACGCATAAGACTTTTTTTCTCACAACCCCCTCCCACATGTCTAAAAATAACTAAAGAAATGGAATGAAATTGAAATTTCAATACGAAAAATATGATGGTTTAACCTGATTATAAAACAATTTTCTAGATATAAAATTAACAAATGCTGTCCTTGTTTTCGCGAAAATAGAGGCTAATTGATTGATTGTATGTTGTTTCGCGTCCCATTCTAGAGCATTTCACTCATAAAGAGACGTTATTTGAAGCGAGCGCTTTACCGATTTAGCTACCGTGAACGGTCGGTAAAAGAGGGAGAAAGAAAATATAACTCAGATAAGGGCGAATCACATTAAGATATACCAATTCGCTACTTGAAAAATGTATGGGGACGATGGATTTTGTTTTTTTTCCTGAAAAGTGACTTCTTCACTGAAATATTAACAACGAAACCTCAAAACTCTTGTTCTTAAGATAGTCTTTTGTTTGTGAAATTTCATACGCAGATATAATAAGGCTTCATCCAGATATTCTAATTACCAATATGATATGACGTCATAGTAGGCTCTATGAGGTAAACTTAAGAGATTAAGATTTAAATGAATGCAGACAGTGTTTTTACATCCCGATAAGCTTCTCCTCAGTCGTTTGTTGCAACACAACAGAGATACGAAAATTCAGCACTATGCCGCATACTTTGAATTTTTTTTTGTTTCAATCAAAAGTTTTTATTCAATTGTTTTCAAGTGATGTTTAAATCATGTGGTTAATGGGAATTAAGGTAGGATTCTTCTCACACAAAATTGTATTTTTTTAATTTAAAAATTAATGAAATTTTAACAAAATCAAGAAGACAATATCACTAAGTGATGGTATCAGTAAGATTAGTTTTGACAATTCTATATTAGAATCAAGGTCATGTCAAGGTCATTATCTTTTCCCTGAACTTTAAGAATGAAAAAAAATCTTGCATACAATCATGCAATACGATTCTCGTTTCAAAAGATTATTTTTTTCTTTTTGCATGAAAAGAGTTTACCATATAACGTCTATAAGATGATGTTACCTAATTGACACAAATAGTTTAACAAAAATGGATTTTGGCTCATTCGAATTTTCTCTATCTCTCTTAATTTTTTTTAGGATATATTAGTAATTTTTATATGTGTCCTATATTTAAAATTTTCTAATTTTCACATATGGTAAAGAAGTCATATATGGAGATACAGAATGATACAAAAATAAAAAGATTTGACCGTTTATTAAAGGAGTTTAAACACTTTTTGTGGATTTTTGGCTCATATCTGTACTTAGATTAGAAACTACTTAAAGCTAAAATCATTGTAGTTTGATTAAAAAATCATATTTATTTGATATAGATTAAAACTTTAGTCCCATATCATTATTATAACTAACATTTGAAAAATTCTTCAAGTCTTTGATTGTGTAAACATTTTGACTATATTCATTGTTCTACAATAATTTTAAGAATAAAAAAAAATATGTTCATACGCCACCATTCCGCTAAAAAAACAGCTCCTGCTAGATTTTTAAGTCAGTTTACCACATCTGTGTAAAGTTGTACAACTGTGCAGAGAAAAGAAAAATATGTTCTTTTAAATATCTTACATCTACATATACAGGTGACTCTCGATGGCTCGAACTCCGATCTCTCGAAGTTCTCGATCTCTCGAAGTGAACCTCCGGTCCCGTTTTTTTCCTCTATATAACTAAGCAAATTTACTCCTGATCTCTCGAACTTCTATCTCTCGAAGTTCTCTATCTCTCGAACCAAATCATGGGTCCCGTAACACATATTTCAATGAATTTCACTCTCTATCTCTCGAAGTTTTGATTGCGTGTGTATAAAAGCCAATCAAGCGTATAATTGATGCAGCCTGAACTTACCTGGAAAACAGTGAACGCCTGGGGCTTGGCATTGAGGTGTTAATTGGGTGTTTACATAGATGACATTTCACCTTGTGGGTAGTCCGTGTGTCGATATAATTAATTGATTATCATTGGTAAATTATAAACTGTTTTTAATTTAAATTCACATCTTTTTTTGACTTGAAAACGAGACGATAATTTTTAAAAAGTAATTTATTGTCAAATCGATAAGTTCCCATAGGCTATGAATTTTTATTAGAGTCCACATAATCCTATTGCACAAGAAATTCCTTTCTGAAGTACTAAATACCGATTTAGAAATATCTTGTGAACATTGGTGAACAAGTGAAGGACCTGATCAAGCCACGGGCACTGGAAGTTAATGTAAATATATAGTTTATGTATATATAAACTACATACACATACATTATATATACACATACTATATATTTACATTAACTTCCAGTGCCTGTGGATCAAGCCGCCGAATATTCAAACCGAAAATTGCTATTCGGATTTGATGTAATCATTAGATAAGGACAAATAAGTATTGAAACTTCAGGAATTCGTTTTATTTAGTCGAAGTACGATCATTGTTGTTGATATCAAGTAAATATTACCTGTAAAATACAATAGAAAACGTGCAGTGACTTTATTTACATATACTTCCGGTATCTATAAAAGTAGAATTTCGATGGTCGGAGCTGAAAATTCCGGATTTTATTTACTTTCTATCTCTCGAACCCTTCGATCTCTCGAACTTATCTTGCGGTCCCTTGAACTTCGAGAGATCGAGAGTCACCTGTAGAAGAGATATAAGCAAATATACGAGGGGTGATCAAAAAGTTCGCAAACTAATTGAATAACTTCCATGAAAGAAACAGTATTTGGTTTCAATGTTGATTATATTTTAAATTAATCCTCTCCGATTTTAATGCACAGCAACCACCGTTTTGCGCATGCGCGAACCACGTGATATTTGCGGTGGGTGGATAACAATATAATTTCCAAAAATAAGCATGGCGACTTTTGAAACACAAATCTTGTGTCACGGGAGAGATTTTTATTCAAGGTGGATAGAGAACAGAAGCCTTCTTTTTATCATATCTAATATGTTTAAAATCAAAAGTAAACGATATCTTGGGTATTTAATAATTATATAATTGTTCAAATATTCAATTATTTTTCAAAGTGAAAATTGGAGGTCTTTGATAGTAAATTGCTTAATTAAAAACACATATCTTTTCAAAATTGCTTTCATTGGGCAAAATGACAAGTATCATTTTTAACCATCTGCCTTCCTTCACTAAAACGATCAATCCAATCATTAATTGAATTTATAGGAACTCATTTATCTTAGCAAACTGTGTACAAATTATTATATGATACTGCAGAAGGATATTTAAGATATACAATAAATTGTACAGTCGTTTGTAGAACGAGTTCCACTGAGACAACCATTTTTCGTCACAAGTGACCTACATAGTGACGTCATTTTCAAATTGTGACGTCACAAACAAAGAGAAAAACTTTATTCAGCATATGCTATTTATAGGCCTTGTGTATGGCTATGTGTGTACCGAATTTCATTCTAATCTGAATTGTGGTTTTGTAGATATAGAGATAGTTTGCGAACATTTTGATCATCCCTCGTACATTGAATATTTCATCTAGTCAGAAACCAGAGAAGAATCCTACCTAAATGACATTTTGTCGATCTTATGTACAAAATGTAAAAAGTGTGCTAAGAAGTAAGATTCTATTACATGTAGCATTTTTCAAGTGCAGAGATAATTTTATATAGCAACTTTTACAAAAAGAAATTAATTATCCCCGAGGTATTGTTGAACATTTCTTTTTTCCATTAAGGCATCTTTCTCTATTTATAAACGTCACACGATATCGTCGTGGTAGAGTGTAAGAATCTTTGAAGCGTATAGAACGGATAATTGTGGTTTTATTATACTTAACCCATGATTTTTCCCATTTATCAATTTTACATTTTACCAAAAAAGTCTCATCTGTTTGATGCCTTAACATACCTGCGTAGAAAACACGTAATTTATGCGTGGTCTGATGCTTTTGAATTTGAATTTCTTGTTTGAATGATAGTTATATATTTACTAAAATTTTGCACTACATTGAGATACATTTAAATCAGATTTAACCGTACCATTCTTTAATTTCCACGTTATTTGCTTTACAAGCCATTGTGAAATTGCTAATTTTCGCGGTATTTTAATTTTCGTTGTTTTCAATGTTTGGAGACACACAAAATATTATGAGTACAATGAAATGAAAACTTTCACACGAATTACTACTGAACACATTCAAACCAGGAAATAAAACCCCTACAGATCAATATATTTTTTATTCAAACCTCGAAAACATGTGAGTATACGGTTTTATTTGAGAACATGCATGTATATTATTATTAACACAAGTACATCATATGATTTTAATATTTATTCATGTATAAAGGATAAATGATAAATTGTTTATTCTTTAGGGGAACAAATTTCTTGTTTATTCATATAGTTATGTCATAAGTAGTCTATTTCTTTTTTAAAAAAAATCTTCTGTTTATACGGTAACCATTTTTCTACGGTAGTTTTGAAATTGCATTTTTGAAAACAGTTCCTTACAAATAATTTTACGTGCGTGAAGGAAAACGATCTTATCATTTTTATTAAAATTTGAAGGAGCAAAAGGCTATTTTTTATTGGATTTGTGCCAGAAAATATTCATTTAAAAGAGCACTCGATTAAAAGAAATGTTTTGAAAGAAGAAAAAAAACAGTAATAGGTGTAAAATTACATGTGACGCCCTAAAACTTCCTTTAAAGTTTAAAGAGATCGGTGAATTGCGTTTTTAGGCTATTGTGAATGGGAGACGTATTCATAATCAAGATTCTTTAAAAGAGTTAAAGCTTGTATCTATACAACAATGCATTCTTGCAATGTGCAAAGTTTAGAGCCACAGAGGGTTTTCAAACAAGGTAAGTAAATGGCAGATTTGAATTTTTCTACTAAGTAGCTGCTGCAAATGGCAAAAGTGTGCGCACTTCATGGTGTGAATACCTAAGTGTCTAGTTTTAAAGGTCTGAGAGGTATTTTTTACTCTTAACATAGTAACTTAATGTACGTTCAAAATATTCAACTGTTATTACTTGCATTTAGGTAATGAATTTTGAATACTTTTAAGTGCCTGACAAAATTCTCCATTCTATTCTTTACGAAAAGATTTAAAATCTTTAATGCCTAGGTCACATTTCCCGGCCGGTAGCCGTAGACCGGTGGTAATCGGTAATAATCCGTGGTGTTAACGATGCCCCAACATCGGTCCACATCGGCCAAGTAGTCCTTAAAGTATCAGTCACATTATCCAGCGATGGGGTATACGATAGACAACCAATGCGTTTTATGATAAAAATAGCGTGGTTGCCGGCCGGACTTGCAAAGGCCCAGCGATGCAATGCTAATCATAAAACGATGTTCCAGGATAATCGGCCGATATATTTACATCACTCATACATTGGTGAACATTGTTCGTACATCGGTGGACTACGGGCCAATGTTTGATCGAACATCGTCCGATGATCAGTCGTTATCTGTTGAACATCACTAAACTCTCCGATGACCTCAGATTTAACGTATATTGGACGATGCTCGGCCATACATCGGCCGATCCTTGAAAAATGTGTTAATGATGGGTTGCCGATGAGGAGTGATGTAAGGCATCGTTGAAGACATCGCTAAATTTTAACTACGAATTATTTCCTACCGATGACCCCACCGATTTGCAAAAAGAGACTCACTAGTGGTGCCCGGCCGGCAACCACGCCATTTTCATTAAAAACACATCGGATTCTCATCGTATACCCCATCGTTGGATAATGTGATTTATACTTAACACCAATAAGCGCACAAGATAAACTGCTTCTTATTATGGGGTCCCGACCCTCTGCTCTAAATTTCACTAAAATAATTCAAAATTTCTAACATTGATTTAAATGAATGACAAGAACATTAGAGCCACATGGACAATAGTTTTAAGTATTAAGCACTGCTTAAGCTTTCAGAAATGATTTTCATGTCAAGAAAGAAATTTTAACACAGAGAACAAAAAGAATGACGATTTATCATCACAACTACACTAATAATTTTAATATTTGCATTTTCTTTAACCACAGTTCTTTAAGAAAAACAGATCTCATCAAGAGAAAAAAAACTAAGATAATTTTATTTAATTATATTTCATTTTACGTTTTCCAGATTCATGCACAGTGTATATTAAATACATATTTGCATGGTAAAAAAAGACCGAGCTTGCATGATCCAAATTCGCGCAGGGACAGATGTTGGTCATATCTCTAGGTATTCATCTCAAAACATTTTCGATGCTAAATTAGCAGTGCCAATCAATTTTTCAAATTGATTGCCAATCATTTTTTCAAATTGATTTCACATACATTTTTCAAAAAGTCAAAAATCCCCTTAACATAAGTTACTGTCGGTGTCATGGTTATTTGTGACGTAAAATGTACATATAAGGGATTTAATTAAGAATTGAGAAACCTATATAGTTATTATCGAATGATCACAATGCGGAACGACACGGCTCTGTAAATACGCAAGATTTTTAAATCTTCTAGAAAAAGATAAAGAATCTTCGTTGTATGAGTGCGATTAAAAGGTTTACTTTACAATTTAAGAACAGATGATACAAACAAATTCTTTCTTTGGAAGAGATTTAGTATTATATCACTAATTTAAAAAAGTGGATAATTCTTACAGTTTCTTCTCCTAAGAATTGGAAAATGGAATAGACTTGGAAAATTTTGGTAATATTTCAATATAATTACAAATATTGACAAAACACATTCAGTTAAGGTTTACAGATGAAAACAATTTTGAAAATATGCTACCTTGGTGCTAAAAGTGTATAAACGTAAGAAAAATATACCAAGCCATGTTAATTTTATTAGGAAAGGCAAAACAGTACAAACCAGCCCGTGTGATATTGCTGATTTTTTTTGTCATTTCGTTTTTCCACCTATAATTCACCTGGCTTGGTATATTTTTCTAAAGTTAATATTACGCATTTAGCACTTAGGTAACATATTCTGAAATTTGTTTTCACCTGTAAACCTTTACTGTGTGTGATTTGTCTTTATTTGTCTTTTCATTGAAATAATATTAATATTTTCCAAGTTTATTTCCTTTTCCAGTTCTTAGGAGAAAAAAATTTAAGAATTATCCTCTTTTCTAAACTTGTGAAAGGATAATAAGTCTCCTCAAAATATAAAATTTGTTTGTATCATCTGTCCTAAAAAACCAATGATGGCAAGTTCTTACTTTTGCATACTCTGCATACAGAGAATAGCCGATATATGAAATACTAAAGGTATACGCATGTATTCAATACGGAAGCGTATAAGTGCCACTTGAACACCTTATTTTTTTTTTCATTTGTACACTTTAATCTATAAAATTTACACTTTAATCTGTAAGATTTACACTTTAATCTGTAAGATTTACACTTTAATCTGTAAAATTTACACTTTAAGAGCAATTCTCTGTAATGACTTGAACTTTTATATAGGAGCTGTGGCACGCATAGTCTCAGAATTTCTCCAAACTCTCTATGATAAAAGTCTTTGATACCCTAAACTGAAATCAGGCAAAAATTGGTTGCTATGTTTTATAGTTACCATGGCAACATGTTTTAAAGTTCGAAAAATGGCATTTTTTAACATGTTTAGAGCCCCATAGTTAACATTTGCGGCAAAGCAAACAATTGGCAATGAATGTTTCCAAAAGTTGAAGGTCAAATGTCTCAAATGCATGATAAACATGTTTGGTAAATCAACTATTACATACGTTACTATGGTAACAAAGTATTCAAAAGTAAAAAAAAATATTCATTGAATTTTATAAAGTCATACATGTTAAAATAAAAAGCAATTATAGGATGAAATGTGACCAAATAATAGAAAAAAGAGCTTTGAAACATATACGAAGAACAAAATATGATATTTCATTTTGGTTGGCAATGGTTGCCAAGGTTTTAATACCACAGAGAGCCTTCAAAGTAACAGTCTGTATGTTTCAATCTGATCCTATCTTTTAAAAAAGCTCATTTCCTCATAACTGATGATCAATTTTTGAAGATGTTGGTGTGCTCCTAGTTTTACCATTTGAAAAAATTCAGTTTAGACTCTTTAAATAAAGCGTTGCTATGGAAATAAGCATAAAATATATGCTTAAAAACCTGAGAAATATTTTCTGTCCTTGGATACGTACCCTTAAATGTAGATTCCCAAAACTTTTATGATTGATATTTATTAACAGCTTACCTGACTTTTAATTTTGACTATCATCCAATCTCTAAGTGGATGCAAGAAGTTGGCACACATGGTTTAATATTAATATTAAGTTCACAAAATCGAACATTTTCCCTTCTTGGTTACCATAGCAACAGTGTTGTTTTCTTCATCAAATTTTATCAATATATGATATTCAACTTCAGTTCTAACAGATAAGTATGATTCAAGCTGAGTTCTTTTATTTGTTTCTTGGTTATATGGCAATTAAATTCTTAATGCAGCAAAAAATAATTCACTTTTAAGCACTGGTACTTTGTTTCCATGGTAACACTGCAAAGTAGCAATTATACCCAATTTTTCTTATGGTTTTGGTGTTGTTAGGTCTTAAGGATGCATATTTGCCAGTCTTGAGTTTTCATGTTTTTCCTCAAGACAGTAGCATTAACCCAAACTTAGTAACTGGTTTTGCATGGTTACACTGTGTTACCATGGCAACCATAAAAGTTATTTATAGAATAATATTGCTTGTACTTATATACTCAAGGTCAAACATTTTCATTGTTTTTCTTAAGTCGTTGATTGAGTTTGAGCATGTAACTCCTACCATTAGTGAATACGGAGTGTTTTTCAGCATATTTCAGCATTTTAAATGTATTCCAAATGTATCCTTAGTTACCACTTACTTAGAGATATATTCTAAACATTTTCTTTACAGTATAAGTGACATCAAGGTGACATGTTTTTGTGAGAATGACTTATTTGCTTTTTCTAGTTTTTATTAAGCCACAATCAAGATTTAAAGTGGCTGAAAATCTCGATTTTGCAAAGTTTTCCAGCTGTTGCCATAGCAACCGAGACACTTAGCAACGAAATTTTGTTTGATATTTGTTTCTGGTGTCTAGTACTAAGCATGGGTGAAGTTTCATCAAAATCGGTGACCATGCGTGGCAACGAAGTTTAAGTGGTTACAGAGAATGGCTATTAATTTGTAACTTTTACACTTTAATCTGTAAATTTAACACATTAAAGTGTAAAGTTTACACTTTAATCTGTAAAATGTAAAGTCACAGTAAAATCTGTAAATTTTACACTTTGAAAAGTAAATTTTACACTGTAAAGTGTAAACTTTACAGATTAAAGTGTTAATTTTAAAGTGTAAATTTTACACTTTAAAGTGTAAATTGTACACTTAAATCTGTAAATTTAACATTTTAATCAATAAAATCTACACTTTAAAGTGTACATTTTGCAGATTAAAATGTAAATTTTACAAATTAAAGTGTAGAATTAAAAAAAATAATTAAAGCGTCCAAGTGGCACTAATACGCTTCCCTAATTCATGACAAATAAAATGCTCGCCTTGTTACAGTTAAACTCGGTAATAACGAAGTCATTGAGACCTGTGAAGTAACTTCTTTATATCCGTAATTCGCCATAACCGTGTAAGGAATTCGTTAAATTTATTTAGCTGGGGATCCAAGATAAATACGCTATATCCATGAATTTGTAATATCCGTATTCGCACTACACAAGTTAACTGTTTTACTCGGATAGAAAAAACATACTATGTACATTAACTTGTCTAAGCAAACCGCGTATTAAACATTTTGTACAATTAAATTCAAGTCTTCTGTGTCATCTCTAGAATAAATATTATCGATATCACAATCACTTATTTGCCAAGATAAGAATTATAATGTCATCATAAACGTGAATTTACATTACTTAACACATTAGCAAAAATTTATATACTCAACAAAAAAAAGAAACATATTCAGATTTAACATGATAATCTAAGTTTTCAGCTTCCTCCTTTTTTTTAATAAGTGATTTTGGAGGATTTTGATAAAAATCAAACATGTCCTGTTTTGCGAGTAGTAAAGTGAAGTTTATGTCATTGTCGACGCCTCCAAATTTTAGGGGCATACCGTCGAAAACATCCATATGTCCGTTGCGACGTCTAAGCGCAACTGGATTTCCAATGTACGGATGTCGTGCACAAATACCAGCTCCTCTCAGTCTCTTGCGAACAATTTATGCACATTTATGCTGATTTTTACATCCACCAATTGTAGCAGGAGTTTTTTAAAGCAGTTCTGAATCGCGTGAGGTGCTGAAAAAAAAGGGGGGGGGGGTCTGACGGTCCTGCCTGGGAGTGGTTACCACGGATAGCCAATTCTTGGTCTTCCGACGTTAGTTTCACGGCTGCAAAGCCCATTGATGTGTTCTAAATGTACTTGCAACTTCCTGTTGCGTAGCTCCATTTAGTATCATCATTAGCCTTGCTTTATTCATCTTTGTTTCGGCGTGGCATTGCAGCATCAACACTGCAATCAAATCTTAAATATGGGTTTAATAGGAGTTATAATAGTTTCTCTAAATCCAAAATATCAACGAAAATAGACATCCGATTTAGAAGAAATCATGAAAAACAATAGTTTCATAAACACGTTTAATCAAGGGAGATAATTCAACACTTGGGTTTTAAATCCCCATATTATCCTTTAAATAGGTCACAGGTATCCAATGATGTAAAATATAGTTGTTCCATGTACATTTTAAAAATTTCTTTGACGAGTAAAACAATATGCGTTTTTTTTTTGTTGAGTATATATAACTTTTAACAAGATTAAAATTTTATCAATTTAATGTTTTTTTTTAAAGTTAATGATAAGTTTTTTTGTTAGCTACTGAATCGGAAATAAATAACCATGCTGATCATTTAACAATTAATATCCCAATCATAAAAAAACCAGTGATAAGAAGCAAGACGCATATTTAATTCACAATATAATAAATGCTGTATTTAAATTACATGCGATGGTTTTAATTTCAGATTAAGAAAAAAATAGAAAGACACTGCAAGTTCCCTGTTTGCTAATCAGGTCGCCTTCAATGCAGGTAAATTCAGAAGCAATAAAAACGTTTTGCTAAGGAATAATTCTCAAAAATGTATATCTGTCTTAGATCGAAGATTTAGTGACCGATTTTTACATGATTTTTAGGGGAATAGTTTTAAAACAAGCCTTCAGGGGTTTTATATTTCTTGCCTTTTTATGTTAAGTTTGGGAATAACAAGCACCTGATATTTCAAGGAGATATTTGAATAAATACACACAATGGAACATTTTAAATTCAACCCTATCGTTTAGAATTGAGGGCTCTATTTGTGCCTCTTAAAATAATTATGGCTTTACTTTAATTGGATATACCATACATTAAGAATAGTTTAAATTCCTAAATCGCTAAAAATGACCTCGAAGGTATCTTGTAAATGTTGTTTTTGTCTCCATTTGTGATCACAGGATACATTTTAGATGTTGGAAAAAACGCAATGGGAAGATATTTTTAAATACAACAAAGCTTTAAATCTTCACTCAATTTGCACACAGATATCAAAAAAACTTTTGTTCTTTTTAAAATAGTATAGGGTTATTGAACTTAGATTTGTGATTATTGGCACAATAAAGTTGGCTGTACAGATGTATGAGCTTGTGAATGCATTGGTACATTGTACAGCCAACGAGTGCCAATATTCACCAATATAAGTTCAATAACCCCTTTATTACATAGCTAAAACATTTCCACATAATTTATAATAATTAATCCAACTAAAAAAATTCTAATTTATGATTTTTTAGTATCGGTATTCAAATTAACGCCTGTCCTGTAGGTGTTCAATATCGCATAATTCCGATGACCCTACCAAGCGTTCTGATTTGCTTATTTAGGTTTTAATGAGTCTAATACATTCTAAATTTTTAAAATTTCCATTTCTAATTTTTTCCCTGTGATAACTCTTTGAAAGTTAGCGGAGTTGATATCTTGATAATGCTTCTTGAATGTAAATTAGACAGGTCGATAGGTAAGGAGATAAGGAGGCCTAACATGCATGCAAATCTCGTGCGCATCTGTCTCTTTGTCTCATGCTAAGGACGCCTATTAAGCATGTAAATCTCGTACGGTTGCCTTTGTGTTAAACGTCAGTAGGCGAGGACTATTAAAATTGGCATGGGAGACCTCGTGTAAATTAAATCTATGTCTATATTCTTAAAATCGAACTCTACAATTTTATTTCACAATGAAATGGAAATATAAGGAATCACTGTCTAGTTAGTATAGTATTCCAGGGACATCAACGATAGGGGAAAACATGGGCAAATTATCCCATGTTTCCCACTATAATAACGGGCTTCGCCCGTTATACAAATTATTCAATGTTTCCCACTATCGTTGATGCCCTGGCATAATATACTAACTAGACAGTGATTTCTTAAATAAATACTTTCATGTTTATGTAAAAAATAAACACATCTTACCTACACTTCCTTTCTTTAATTTAGCTCTGAGAATTTTACCAGACGACTTTTTTTTATTACAACGGGGCGTTCGATATTGAACGCTCGTATTCAGAATGTTTAGGACATACTCGTATACGTTATACAAAGTCAGCGTTCAATAAAACGTCAAGATATTGAACGCTAAAATTCTCTAGATTTGTGGTAGTATTTCATCAGAGATTATTAGCTATGAATTGGTTTCTTTTCAATAGACACACAAAGATTGAGATTCAATCAAATCAAGCCTGGTAGAGACTTTAGGTATATGTACATGTAAAAAAAACAAAATATTAAAAAAGGTTTACTCACTCATAAATCAATTGATTTATTTAAGAAAATATATATGTGCCAAGAAATAAATACGTTCACTTATGATGACTACTGCTTACAAGATCATAAGTTGATACAACATAGAATAGTAATCATAAAACTTATTCTTCATAAATTTTATATTTTATAATACTACATTTTTTGAATTCAGAAATGAAGTCATTAACAAATTGTTGGATCACGGTTTCCGTCATTTACTTAATGCTTGCATTGGTGTGGAAACAGTCAACAGTCATGGCTTGCAACCTATCAGATGTTGACATCAGAGTACATCAAGAAATGTTTACATCGGCAATGGAAGATGGAAATGTACAATTCATGTATATCAATATAAGCTCTCCTTCTTTTAGAAACTTGACTATGAATGAAACGGAATGGAATCCAATCGTGGAATGGATCTGGGTCACTGAAGAATACAAACATATTTTATCATATCCTATAGATATTGATGTATTTACATTTGGGCTGTTGGCACAACATTTTAAGGTTTTAAAACTTAATGTGAACATAGAAAATATTTCAGATTGCATCAATCATACATTGTGGAAAAAAGTACAAGAATACTTATTTAAAGTTCACAATGACTCATCCGGTTATTTTTGTCATAGATATTTTAAAAATCCGATCTTGAAAGGAGCATTATTTCTCTTATCTCACGTAACCATTGGATACGAGTTTCACTGCTTTCAAATGAAAGACCAAACTTCTCCTATCAATGTTGAGAAATCTGGGATTATTTACATTACTATAGCAATAGTATTTATCATTTTTTCTTTTTATCCAATGCTTTTGTCTCAATCTACCTTTGAAAAAAAAGTAGACAGACAACTACAGAGTTTTACTAAAGCGGACTATCCTTACACTCCTCGCCGATTATTACGATACATCATTTTTCATACAGGGAAGAAATTCCATACAGACAATATATCAGAAAAGCGGAGATTATTAATGATGAACTATTTCAGTGGTGTTCGCTTGTCTACTTTAATATTTATTGTAACAGCTGGTGCATTTGTTACAAAGGCGATTTTGACAAATAATTGTGACGTTTGTATGCCTCCAAATGCCCATTTATATAAAACAATATACATAACGGACATATATTATTATCAAAATCTTTTGTCTATTCCTTTTTTTAGTTGTTTTAGTTTCCTTTTTCTTACGGGGATTAACAGTAGTAGTGTAATATCTTTAGTGTTGTTTGAAGATAGGTTTCTTTTAATAGATTTCTTATCTTGCAATTTTTTGCGATTAGTTCCGGTGTCGTGTTTTTTCAAACACCCAGTAAAATGTGAGACTGTATCATTGCAAGTTGTAAATAGACTTTATCTCATATTTTCTCTGAAATTTTGGTTTAAGATTTATTTGATACCACTTGCAAATGTGAAGAATTCCAAGTGTCTCATCCTTTTCATCTTATTCTTGTCTCCCATTAATTTTTTGTTCAATGTATTTTTGATAATTATATTTTCCGTGTTTCCAATTCTCAATCACCTATACTTTTTCCTATTTAATGCATATATATCTTGTTTACAACATTGCAACAAGGATATCAGCGACTCAGTTTTATTTAAAATATTATGTTTTATAACGAGTTTTTTATTTCTCTTTGTATGTATTTACAGTAATGTAATATATATGGGGATGAGTTGCCTCGTACAATTCGGTATCTACTTCATTCTTGTAGCAATACCACATTTATATTCAACACAACTTCACGTTTTTCTAATTATTACTGCGGCTCTTTCTTACATGAGCAAATTTTTCCTAGAATTTTTTCAATTTTACCGTCTGCTGTTGGAGAAAGTTATTGACCTTAGTGGTACAAATGAAATTCTTATACAGGATTTTTATTTCATTGTTAAACAGTGTTGTCCTGTTAAATTGGAATTATTTTTCGTATCCGCAAAAGTATTGATGACGTCATTATTATTGGTAATAATGTATCTGACACTTGTTGAAGTTCATTTTCTCGATGATAAAGCTTCTTTTGATCTAAATGTATTTCTAACCTTTGTTTTTATACTTCTTACACCTGGACTAATTGAGGTGTTGTTTTTTGAAAGCAATACTGATAAAGTTGAAAGCATGCGTCTCGATTTAGAAATGCTTGTTGAACTTTTACAAGATGAAAACCATCTCGAACACACCGAACAAGAGCGGGAAGCCGATCTTGATAGAGCCATGATTATTGACTTTTCCCATCCAAAAACTTTTGAGTTTTGGTGCAAACTTCTATGCATCTGTTTTTGTGGATGTTTGAGAATTCCGGTTGACAATAATGGCCAATGTGATTATTGTTGGTCTCTGGAGGAAGTAAAGACTGATGATGATAAAGAAACTTACACCTTGAACTACTTTAACGTGTGTAAAAGACAACAAACTTCAAGAGAAAGTAACACTGAAGAAGTTTAGTAACCAAAAAATGAAAGTGAGTCTGAATTCATTCGAATACATGTAATAACTTACTATCTTCTTCTCCCAATCCCTCTGTTGCCTTACCGCCTGAAATCAAAGACAACAACAAAAATAGGATTTGCTTCTTTTCCATGCAATTTGCAGGTCTTCCGGCTGAAACCTTTAGATTTAAGGTCCCGTTTTACTGCTCAATGACCATGCAAGGTCTACATATAGCTTTTTTGAGTATATAGTCGATTTAATTTGTGAAAAAAATCATCAAAAGAGACATAAATCTGCAGTCAATCAATTTGCCAAAAAAAAAAATTTAGACAGAAGCTAAATCAAGAAAAAATAAAGAGCATGACAACTTCATATGACTTAATGACTATATTTTATAACTAGATTGCCTAGAAAAGAGATTTGACATGTAACAAGTCACTCAATCTTCCAAAAATGGAGTTTATAGATTTCCAAATGAAAATTTTTCTCTATATGAGGATGATTTAATTTTGGTTGTAACGCTGCATTGATTGGATAAAAACTACTTTATTTCGTATCAAATAGTTTTCCTACGTCACAATGAATTCCGTCAAAAACGTATCAATCCGCCAGACGTTACATTCAAATTTTGTACATATTGAAATAATTTTTAAGAACTATCATCATTTTTTTTTTACACCAAAATAATAAAAATTAAACTATAAGGAATGAATTTGATAGCTACCCATTTTATACGGTATAAACTGAGTTGGAACAGTTTCCGCAGTTTCATAAACTGCTAAGCATAAACTGCCCCAACCCAGTTTACAGCGTAAAAATAAGGTAGCTATTAAATTAATTCCTTAAATAAATAAATAATACTTATTTATTCTAGCAAATACTTTGCCATTAGAGGTTACTGTGTAAAAGCAAGCTAAATACTTTGATCAATTTTAAACCTGAACGTCAAATATTCCAAAGAAAAAGGAAGCTCAAATCTCTTAAGATAGTGCTTGCTAATCCTTATCGTTTAGATGTTAAATTTCCTTATTTCCAGATCACTTAGAAAGTGTTATATCGCCAGAGAGTTCAAAATACCATTATTTAAAGGAACTATCGAACAATTTTACATAAGTATAATTGATTGATTGTGTGTTGTTAAACGTCCCTCTCAAGAATTTATTATTATTTCAAAATTGTTTCTATGCGTATACAGTTCAGAAATGAGAATTGTAGACATTTGTTGATTCTTCTCAGAAAAACAATTTCATTCAATTCAATAGTTTCATTGTTCATGTTGTTTATTTGCAATATCATATCTGAGTAAGCTCCGCCCATTTAATTATTAAACCCCGCCCTCTGGGACTGCTTGGACTTCCGGGACTGCTCTATGTCAGGTTAGGTTTGGTCTGTACTGTATATGTTATAAAAAACTACGTTAATAACAAGAAAAACTATTCCTCCTCGGCACTTTGCTATAAGCTTCTTTCAATTTCATGCTTATTAAGCATACATAAAACAAACAAACTTTTTTCAGAAATCAGCATTATTTTTCATAGATTTACATTTAAATTGGTAACCCGAATAATGTTTACCAAGTAGAGTGGAAGAATTATATAAGATTTTGTCATAAGGTTAAAATATTGTGCAAAATTTTGTATGGAATTATATAGAAGGCAAAACAAAATCTTATATCTAAGCACCAAGGAAAACCTACGATTTCTTTATAAATCAAAGATTTATTATTTATGTCATTTTAAATCAAAATCAGTCAAAAAATATATATCAACCCGTGTATCCATTTTTTGTTTGTGGTAAGTACCCTTAATGTAATATTTATTATCATGAAACATTAAACTGACTAACTTAAGATTCTATGACAGGGGACCGGATTTGAACATTTATTAATTTTTCGTAAAATTTACATTTTTGAACTATATTCTTGATTTCTTTTTATATAATGTATACTCATGGATACTGTACATGTAGGAACATTCATTTATATATTTTTTCTTTTATTTAGCACTTGATGTAAGATTGGTTTTCTACACACATTGTGTACTTCTATTTGATTTTATTGAATTACGCACGTGTTTTATAATATAATATCCAATTGTTTTTGCTATATATGATATAATTACATGCATGTACAAAGAAATTCTTAAATTGGTGTATTGACGACAGTGAAAATCTGTGCTGATGTATTTTATTTTTGCTTTATATAATAAATGTATCTTCTAATAAAAAGTTTGGCAGAACGTTTGTTGTTGTTTTTTTTTAAATTCTTGGGTATTTCTATAAAGCATATTGGAATGTAGCTTTCGAGGGCTTTGTTTGAAAGCTCATTCGAAGACGAAAAATAGCATTCTTCTTGAGTAGGACTGTAAGAAATAGTGTAAATCAGCGATTCAGTCCTTTTATAATGTTTGATAACTAAGCAAAATGTGACACCAATAGTAACTCTAAAAGACATTTATGAAAAATTTGATAAATTTTCGGCCCTTGATATACATGTACACTTTAGTACTCCCCTATAGTCAAAATCGTAACTTATTTTCTTAAAATTAAAAAAAACACTAGTTTATGTTGCTTTTTTTTCTTTTATATGGGTTTCCATACCGTCAAGTCCTAATCTCTTACCAAAATCAATTTGGAAAACCGTTACTTAAATTTCGGAAGATATCCTGATGAATCCTTGAACATTCCTCAACGAGTGCAAACTCAAGTTCACGGAGCGTGTTGGGTTGGTTTTGCCTTTCTAATATTTTCTTCTGGAGCTATTCCCATTCATGTTCGACAAGCTCGTGGACTTCTGATATATCTTTTTTTTTATTTGACATTATATGCTATCCAAATTTGGTAGAAATATTTTTACAATAAATTTAAATCATTTATATTAATTTTTTTTTGATATTACGATTTATTCAAAACTTATCCAGATTTTTAAAAAATGCAAAAATCGGGTCGATAAGCAGATCAAAATTTAGTAAGTTTAAAAAAATATACCAAATAATGTCTAGTAATATTCTCTGTAAAAATGAAGCAAAAACAAAGGAAAAAACAACAAATTAAGAATTGTTACATCGATTTGTATTCCAAATTATGGCTTAATATTTTGCTTGTTCAAGATGGGCTGTCAACTTTTAAATTTAAAAAAAAAATCGACGACGTTTTGAAACGTCAGGTAGCAGTTAACGATGCAATCTCGTGTTTTACTGAAAAAAATCCTAAATAATCTCTTAAAATGTTGGAGGAATAAAACATTGTGTCACAAGCGAGATGTGGACACAGAGTACAGACAGTAATTGTGTGACAGAGACTCTGTATCGGGTGAGGACATCCTGTACAGAAACGGTTTAACTGTAAGATCTGAACAACAACTTTAATAAGTTGGAACGTCAAAGAAAGACATATGCGCTTCGGAATTGCTTATCCTGTGAAAGCAGAGTTAACTAATAAAAGAAATTAAAACCTAAACAAAGGAAATTATACATGGAGAACATTTGTATACATCAAAGTATAAGCACCAGTTTAAAAACTCAACCTCTTTATTTGTTTTCAATTGGCAAGAACGTGTAGAATTCTTGTCATCATTAAAACTGATGACATAATAAGCGAGAAATTTAGGGAATCCACCTATTAGATGTACTCATACACGTGTGAAAAAAATACTAATGTTAGCAAAAGATTGCGGAGTTATTTCTTTTACAAGAAAATTTCACAATTACAATAATAATCCTAACTGATCTTGATCGATTTGTATAACAGTGATCTTCAAGAAGGGCTATGACGTCCTGCTTCTGTCATAGTTTTCAGTTCGTGTTCATTTTTCTTCTATCAGATACAGTCATTTAGGGTATTTCGGGTCACTTTTTACATTTCTACTGCAATTAATTAAACAAACAAAATTATTAATGGTTCCTGGGCATTATTAAGAAGTTTATTGTTTGATTGAAAAGACTTACGAACCAAATTGCGATTATCTTTGGTAAAACGACCGCAGTGGGAGCTTTATCTAGACCTCAAATTTAAGGAATTGCGGGTCACTTCCGGTTATTTCGAGTCACTTTATAAACGTGTGCAAAACAAAACAAAAATTACATTTAATGTTGTTTTATGACCAAAATTAGTTAGTTTTGCTAATATCCAATTGTTATTTCAGCAGAAATGATTTTTTTGTGGGGGAAATCGCTCACGGTGAAATCTGATATCAACACACTATATTGACCGTGTGTAATGTGGGGCGGATCTAGCTTGAAGACCATGAAATATTATGACCTTTAGATTGTTAAATTCTCTCGTAACATTCAGAGACAAACATTTTATGTCATTATTTATTTGAATAAAATGACTTTTTAACAAAGAAAAAAAAAGTAACAATGGAAACACCTGGTTTTAAATAACAGGAAAATGACTAGGAATGTAAACATGTAAAAGGCTATAAAAAAAATTATACAGTAACAAAAAAAAGTAAATTCCTTCTACTTGGACTCATATGAAATATAAACATATAAAAAGTCTATAGATCTACAAAATAAACATAACAATAATATAGTACCTTGATACTACAATATAAAACACCCCCTCACTTTCTAGTGGAAATGTGCATCTCTCTCTCTCTCTCTGCAAAATCTTTGGCAAATTTATGTGCATCCTTTCTCTCTCTCTCATTGCAGTCTTTGGCAAATTCATGCTCTCTCTCTCTCTCTCTCTCTCTCTCTCTCTTATTGCAAATTCTATGGTAAATTTATGTGCATCTTAAAATGATATAAAGTATGTCAAACTTAGTATGTAAACTTTCATATTAAAAAAAAAACAAAGGTCCTACTTTGGACATATAAAAACAACTTCACATTCTATGAAATGAACTTTGATACAAAGAATCATATGTGATGCATGTACACATTATGATAAGGAGACATCAATGACCGACTTTTCAGGCATATTTTCAATATGCTGCTCTATAACAGTCAATGCTGCATGGAAGTTTTTGGGACACCCTTTGTATTGGCAGGATATAACAACACCTCCTCCTTTTTCCAGCACATGGGGCCAGGGTGGAAAACTTGGCAATGGTTCACCAGTAACGGTTGCAGTTATTACACCTCCAGCATCCATCACATACCTAAAGGCACTCGCCAAACCTCTCGGAACATGACCACAAGGAAGACCTGCTATGTCACTTAATTTCAGGCCAATTTCTGAGCAGGACTTTTAGATGGTGTCCAAATTTCCTTCCTCTTTTTAGTTCTTCCCATTCTTCTGAAAATAAGCAATGTGTATGTAGGGGCCTAGTATGTTTATTCACCACTTGTCTACATGTACATTCATGAAATCATCTGGAGTTTTAATAAAGTCAGTGAAAAAAAAACCAAGAAAAATTGTTGCAATAAAGGAAGGGGCGCCCGAATGAATCCGCCACTGGAAGCATTCACCACTACTGTAAATGTACAATATTTTTGCACAACACTTTACCACATAACAGCACGAATCTAGGTCGCAGCAACTTTATTTCACACATACAAAAAAAATGGATTTTTCTTTTTAACAAAATGATTATTTTTATAATGTTTAATTTAGTTTAACAAATTTTCTACATAAAGAAAAGCTATAATCATGATAATATTGAAAAAGCACAATGTAAACATTGACATGTGACGTACCAAAACACGAAGCTGTAGAAACACACGTGACCCGAAATACACTAAACCGAAGGGGGTTAGGAATACACCACTACCTCAATAGATTTTATTGCAACCAGAATTTGTTTAGTTGCATTAGAAAGCGTATGAATTTTCCTTTCCAGCAGTATATAACATGTATTGTTTTATCAGACGTAAACTTCACATCATCGAAGAAAAAAAGATGTCTCCGTTTTTGACATGCAAAATTCTCTGATCGGGAAACATACGCCATTTAATCAACGTATTAATTAAGACATCTATTTTCAATATTTTCCTTTGTAACTGTGTGAATGCATATAACATACCTTGCTGGACGTGACTGCAATAGCTTCTTGTTTTTCTTTTACGTTTTGCGCGAACTGTGTCAAAAAAACCCCGATGACTCCCGAAAATCGGGGTGACCCGAAATACCCTAAATGACTGTAAACAGTCAAGTCAACCTTAAAAACCTTCAACAGTGAAATAGAGATAATTAATTTTCCAACACTTATGTTTGTGTTTTTTCATCATTATCATTAACATCTCTTTTCCCTATGTACAGTAGTCATGCCCGCTCAACATAATGTTGTTTGATTTGGTGCTCCACACTACCGTTCAACGTTACAAATTTGGACAATGTCTAATTCAAAGTTGTTTGGTAGATATCGTAATATATTTGTCATTAATGTTATTTCATAAATGAATTTTAAAACATAAGTACGCAAAAATATAGAGTATTTATGAAGGTAAATTTTATGTCGTATTTCCGGATAGCCTGATGCATGTGAGGTGAAGTTCTTTAGTTTACAACCCTTTATTCTTTTCTCTGTTTGTGCATTTCTACATTCCTGTCGGTATTACTGTTGATAAAAATTCAAATCTCAAAACACCAGGAAATAACAAAATGAAATACAGCGGGAATGGTCAAATTCAGAAGCTGTGTATTCTGAAACATTTCTGAATATGATATAACTTTTTTCTCCTTTTAAATAATTATATTGTTTATAATATTGTCTTATCTGGAATGTTTTCTAATCCGGCTGAATTTGGTGTGTTGGACAAGTCTCAAAAAAGAAATAATTATACTAAACTAAAACAAATGTAAACAATGAAAAAAAATTGGAACATCAATATAGTTTATATACGAGGGACGTTCAATAAATAATGCCATTAGCTCGATGACATACAACATAGAAATCATATGACATTAAGCTAGACTTTCTCTCATTTTTGAATCTTTAATAAATTGATAACAGTTTATGTGACCACTTTTCATCACATAGTTTAATCGTGCTAAGCTGGGAAACAAGGGCTACTCAAGACACTGCATTATAAATGAATTGTAAAGAATCAGTAAACTAGAGTGAAAATAAAAGCTTCATTAAAGCTGCTGTAAAACGTGTTAAAAATCCCAAAGAAATTTTTACTGAAATATGTGACATTTACAGCAACCAATGCCTGTTTTATAGACAAATGAGCAGGTGGATTTAAATGATAAAAAATTATATAATGGGCATCAAAAATGGGTACCGTCCTTGCCAACAAAAATTATAACAACTTATGTGCTATTTGCCCAATTTCAACAAATAATATCTGATGATGTATGACTGACTTTAAGACACATAGCAAATTTGATATACATCATATCGGGAGTAGTTTACAATGTTTTTAAGAAACGTTTGACGGTAAAAAAGCTTGGTACTTAAAGATCACCCTATGTTTTGAAAAATGAGTGAAAACGACAGCGTGTAGGAATGTCTTAACAATTATTTTAAAATATCAGTAACTGTAGTTATCCAAGTTTGTTTCATATTCAAACAGATAATGGAACATGAATCTATTGCTTAAAACACTCAACACAAAATTTACCATAAGATGTACTTGATAAAAACAGCAATGGTCCAACAAGAGCAAAGGTATGAGAGAACACAAAGACATTTATATGCAATTTTCTTAAATATTAGAGGTACTGTTGTTCAATTTCGTATTCGTGGAGACAGTTTAATTTTTTGAGGAGTCTAGAAAGCATTCTTTTTGCAAAAAAAAAATCGAAAGGTTTATTAGAGGAAGAACCTAGAATCAGGAATCCACTACATTACATTTCTTTATGATAGCGTCCAAACCCTGCACCCCTGAAGAGTAAAGAGGTTTTCGGGATAAAAAGAAAGTTAATATTTTTTCACATTAACAATATTCGCTAGATCTTTTACCTTTTGACTTGTTTCTATTTCCTAACTTGAAAAACCACCTTTCAGAAAGATAAAAACAAGTCCAGGAAATCATTGGATCTGCTTTTTTCCAGTATACTAAGGGTCATACTCAAAAATGTGTTCTAAATACAATCAGAAATTAAAAAAAACTTTAACGGACATCTATTTTAATCAAAAGAGATTAATAAATCAAATCATGAAGACTAAACCATTAAAAATCGTCTTTTGCTTTTTTCCGAGCCCCGATGACATTATTTATTGAACGTCCCTCGTACATAATAACATAATAATGGACTTTTGCAAAAAGTACTAAAACATGTACCATTGATGTAATTCTTTGGCATTTAAATGTACACCTGCGTCATTTAAAGAGGAACAGAATTGATGAATATAATAAAAAATAGAGAGTAGACAGAATAATGTGGCTTTGAAATGATACATTATTATCCTTTCATCAACTGTTAAGCGTAATACTTATTCCACAAAAGAGCTTCCTGATAATGTTCTGGTTTAGAATTAAGGAATCTAAAATTTAGCCGCCTATTGTAAAAGTCAGCTCTTCTCGCAAAATTCCAATATTAGTTACATGTATTACAATAAAGAGGACAATATAATTTTACATGTAAAATTAGCAAAAAATAAAAATTCGTGGTCCTTTAGATACAAGGATAAAAATTCTATACATTCTACTAGTGCAGAGGCAAATTAAGACCAATTCCATTTTTTGTATAAAATACCGGAACTTATAATAACCATCCTTTGGAATACATGTAGTTCAGAAACCAATTCTTCAAATTCATGCAGCAGTAAAATGATCAAGTTAAAATGATCTGCACTGCTGTTTTATACAGTACTTATGTCGTTTTTAAACTTGAAGTCTCATCAGACAGAATCAACTGCACAGACGATTCACCCAATTCAACATCCATATCCTCCTTATTCCATTTAGCATATTTGTTTCCTTGCTGAAAAATGTAATTGATTTAATTTTGAATTAGTACTGGAGTTTAATGAAGAGACTTACTTTTATGTTCGACGGCTGACTTTTACATTTTCGTAATATGAGTTGTTCTCTGTTTAAAATGTAGAAGTGAGTCGTCGATTGTAAATAAAAGTAAGTCTCTTTATAAAACTCCACTAAAGGAAAATAAGATTATCTTACAGATGCACATACAGTTTTCACATAATGGAATTGAAAACAAAATACCGTTTAAATGATATATATATTGAAGCCTCCAAACTATCAAAATATATTTTGGAAATAAATCAACGAATTGTCAAACTTGTTTATTCTGGTATAAGACATTTCCTAAATTCCTTTAAACGATTTTAGGACATACACAACATGGTATCATTACTTAATTAATTTAAATAAAGTCTTCAAAATGTTTTTTTTCGATTGAAATTCATAAAAACAATTACGGCAATCTGTTTTGTTGAATCTTTAAATGGAATTATTATTTTCTATAGACTCCAGATGTTGTCTTTGATTGAACAAGTTTAATTCATTATAAGAGAATTTAGAATCTGTTTCAACGAATTTAATTAATTATAATGAAAGTTTGAAAAATGATAAAGAATTATCAAGCTCAAGTTTATTAAACAATGCGACTTTGGGATTAGGATCAGTGCAATCATGGTCCACTAAATCTTAAGAGATGGGATCATGTGCCATGCAATATTGATAACAAATTTGACATTTTGTTATATCGATTTCAAAATTGCTTTGTAAAGTCTTAAATGGGTTTCCTGAAATAAAATATGTAAATAAAAAAAATCATACTTACTGCATTTGATCTCCAACGGGAAAATAAACGCTGGCAGCACGGGTCTCGTAGCTCAGTCCTCTGTTTAAACAGAAAGAATATTGTTATTTTGTGTTGTTAAATTATGAAAGTATTGCAAGTGATTAAGGTTTTAAAAGTATAGATTATTTCTTTATAAAGAAAAAAAAATTAGCAAACAAATATTCGAGCCAAAACAACAATATAGTTTTTACAGGTATATATGCACATAAATTGGATTAAAATTTGAATCAATAGGAAAATATCTACTAGATGCAAGAGACATTGAAAGATTAAATAAATATTCTTTGTATGTTTATAGGGTTAATAACAATTTCAAAATTACTATCTGTTTTCAAAAAATTATAATTTTTGACAGAGTTGTAAAAGCATTTTTTACGAAGAGAACTAGGCTAGTGTCTTACCTTAATTATATAATTCGATGTTGAAAACCAAATTTTTTTGATTGAAAGCACAATTAACGTGATAAAAGGACTTAAATGGTCGTGTTTAAAATGAGGGTAAAAGAGATAACTACCTTTCTCCAGTACTTGAGCATTTGTTTCCAGCTTATAATATGATCATTTCTATCATGTTGTGGGCATTGGGAGAACGACTCAAAGGGAGCAGCTGAATAAAATTCGACTGCCTCAGACTCAGTAATAAAAAGAGCATCCTTGCTTTCCTCTGTTATATTGGTTGGTTTGCATGTAAATCCGGGATAAAATTCAACCGGCTTATGAAAAGTTCGAGTAAGTTGTTCTAAAAATGATTCGATCTTACCGCGAATCCTCAAAATGACATCTTCTTGCAGTGGTTGCACGTTGTAAGTATATATTTGGAGGTGAATTTGTGTACCGCTTACACCTAAAACTATTCGATGATTATTGTCCTTGTATTTGAGGAAGGCAGCGTTTTTGAAAAGCAGCGGAAGTTTACCGTCTTTCTGTGCCTCCCATTCATCCAAACTTGCTACGACAAGTCTATAGAAATAGAAATGTGGCAGGAACTCTGGAAATCTAAACTTTAGAATACTGGTATGTTTTGTCCTTTTAATTCTCTCAAAATCTTTCAAATACAGTTCGTGTTTGTTTACACTTGGAGCATAGATTTTTCCCTTCCCTTCAGCGAACAGTCCGAGTCACTGCATATATAACAAGACTTGATCTTTAAACTCTATCATCTCATGTAGCCCTAACTCTGTCCAAATGGTTATAAGATGTTCATAGTCCAGCATCCCTGTTTCATTGAAAGAGATCCATTCTTTCGATTGAACATGTGTTCGATGGTTTTTATCAGTCAAGATTTCCTTAAATGCATTAACAAACCATTGGACATCAAGTATAACCATTTCAGAGAGATGTTTTTCATTGAAGAATAAAATTTTGCCACAATCATGGAAGAATCGTAGCATGTCAAAAATGTCATCCCTTTGTGATGGAAGTTCAGAATTGCTACTTTTGATTAAATCCGAGAAATTGATTAATCGTTTAATTTTCAAACTATGTAGCTCCTGATCAAATTCGTCCCATAGTTTTGGCACAATTTCTCCCCAAGTTGATTGTTTTTGGATCAAGCCGACAATACACTTTTCCAATCTGTCTATTTCATCTCTGCTTTCCCCCGGTTTTCCTACTTCAAAGTATTGTTTTCTATGGAGATGTTGCTGTAATTGGCTGACGTCTGGCAGTTGTGAAAGAAAGCTGCCGAACTGATCTTTGTTCTAAAGCAATACGTATAAGGTTACGTTTTATTCATACCTGTAGGACATATCATAACAGAAATATATTTAAAATAAAATCCTTCAAGACACCTTACTCTGTGATACTTCACAATCACTAGTTCTAAAATATACCTGTTTAATAATTAACAAATGAATGATATATGTAGAAGAAGCAAGTTTGTAAAATTAGTCATATGCTTATCCAAAAATACAGTATAACTGGTATTAAATAAAGAAAATTTATTTATTTTTGGTCAAGATTTCGCAACGCGTAATCAGTTATTTCAATTATTTACATTGGTACGACAATTGGGAATCATCTGACTCCATATTAGCTCTCGTGATTGAAAAAATGGCCGCTAAAGACAGGGAAAAGTGGCAATTTCGTTTTAAATTTGATGACTGCTCAGTGCGTTACGCAAGTGAATTTAATTTTCACTGTCACATCAGATTAACTTAAGCAAATTCCCCATTTCACTGTTAATTACCCAATCATCTTTCTTAAACCTAAATATATATGAACACACAAGCCAATCCATGTCACAGACTGAAAAGTCATAAAAATGGTGTCAATCAAAGGATTCCGCTTACAGTTCTCTTTGTTTACTACAAAATTTAATTTGAGCAAAGCTAGGGCATAAAACACGACAAATACCTTGAAAAATTAACAGAATTAAAAGATCGATATCAATAGTCAATGCCAGAAATTTTTACTATTTCAAAACCTCAACGCTAGTGGAAGCTAAACCTAAAAAGAGAATTGGTTAAATTAAGAAACCAAACTCCATTTTCAGATTTTCAGATACCTTCTGTATTTGGTCATTGACGACATCCTTGTGGGTACCGACTAAGATGACTGGACTTGATGTATCACAATATGTACTGATGGACTCCATCCAGAATTTATTGTAATCTGTCAATATATAGTTTATATATATATATATATATATATATATATATATATATATATATATATATATATATATATATATATATATATATATATATATATATATATATATGTATATATATATATATATTGATATTGATATTGATATTTCTATATATATGTATATAATAAAAAAATCACAACACCGAAATAAACTCAACCGGTTTCATTTCCAATCTTCAGGAGTTTTGTTTATATATTTTATGTTACTGCATCTCAAAGAATCTTATAATAATATAAGTACTTTCATAGTTATAACAAACTATTAAAAAATTATTTTGGGTTCATTTCTGTTTGAGTTTTTTAATACTTATTTTGTATAGTAACAGTTTTTGCAGATCAAAAAAAAGTCAAATATTGCAATTTTAAAAAATCGTATTGTACAAGGGATTTCAAAATTTCTCGGAAGATGCACACGGAAGTCGGACATAATTCTAGTATATGATCAAAAAAGTATTCTTCAGCATTCAGCTTAGTGAGATTTAATACTCTTGAACTTCATTTTTGGTTTTTGAAACTATTGCAAGCTAGTTTAATATTTATAAAATTTGAAAAAAAAACCTCTAATATTCTTGATACATTTATAATTATTTACAAGTACCTTATATTCTTGCCTATGAGTCGGTCCGCTTATAAGTCGGTTGTATATTTTGAAGTTATTTTGGTGGGATTTGCTATTGACCCGCTTATAAGTCGGTACACTTTTTTGCCAAAATCTGGAGACAATTTCAAGTAAATCTATTGATATTTTAACCTGGTTTCAATTAATATTTTTCGAAATGACACTGATATTTATTCTTAAATCGTCAAAAAAAAAAAAAAAAAAAAAAAAAAAAAAAACGCAATGCTGAATTAAAATACAAATAAGATTATTAAATATATAAATACTTATACTTTATATATAATCTAAGAATACATGTGCATAAATTATCATATATATCCAGCCATTTTTTTCTATAATTGTCAGAAATGCAAATAAAATACTTCATATATCGGCCTCCAGAAAAATAGCAAATTCTTTATGGCTCGTCTCTAAGTCGGACATAGAGTTTTAGACCTATTCTAACTCCCAAAATACCGACTTATTGGGGAGTATATACGGTACCTCTATACGTCCAATTTTCAAATAAAGCTTCTCGGGAAAAATTCTGCTCGGATAACACGGGTTCATTTGGATTTTTGGACATGTCAATGGTAAGTATATACAAGGCTCTCCTTGAGAGGTAAACCTGGTGACATGCATAATATGCGCTCTGTCCAGCAAAGTCTGTAACACTCAAGGTTTTTTCCTTTGTACTTGGATAATCTCCACTGAGTGCTTTAAAAGAAAATGACATATACTATTTTTCATTTAAACTCAAATTTATGAAAGATTCACTTTGGTCAATTTCTTATTGCTATAATGCATTACCCATCATTGTATTTGTTTCTTCAGAAATTTTGAATAAACTTTCATGGATGTCTAGTCCAACTGTTGATTCAGTCTTAGGGAATTCAACTAAATCTCGACAGCATCTTTGATGAAGCAGTAGTACAACACACTATCAAAAACAGTCGCGGCTGGTTGATTAAAAGGGTCTAAAGAAAAAAAAAGACAATTTAGAATAAAACCAATGTAACACTATGCAGATAAATCTATTTGATTCTGATTTATTATAATATTGCTGATGACCTTCTATGTCTGTGACTCTTTTCTTAGAAAGTTCCATCTCAGTATTTCTTTGAGCTTCATCGTACCAACGCTTTGAGTCAATGCTCCTTGAGGAAAGTAGTCTTCTAAATAAAGAGCCTTTAGTTTAAGTTAAATCACATTCTATGAATCATAATAACATGAATTAAAATGAATTCGATAATCTCTGCATACAAACCTTTAACAGTTTTTTCCTGTAGAAAGTCAACAACAAGTGTACGAATATATTTATCCGATAAGTAGTTGGTAGATATATGCAAACTTCCTTCTCAAAGCGTTGATAGCACTCTAACCGAAAGTATTTCATTAATAGTTCAACCTGCTTCAATTCAAAAATGTAATTAATCACAGCTATCGGTGAAGGATTTGTTTGAAACAAAACACATAGTGTTTCAAACTCAACTTCCTCACTGGCAAACCTCAGTTTTTTCTCCACTAATACTATATTACTTCACAATGATGTTGCCGCTGCTGGTTCGTCTATTAGATTGCTTGAAAAAGGTAGAATGTTTGAAAAGATTCTCTTTAGTTTCCATGCCTAAAATGATTTAGAAGTAAAAATGAAATGATGATACGATTAAAAAGACCTGATCCTTTTTTTTCCTCTTTCTTAAATTTTTATGTTTAATACTTTTACAAAGTTTCAGGATATCAAAATTTTAGAGATTTTGTATTTTCATCCCTTGTTCTATGACAAAGGTTCCATTCTCTGTTAAATATTTTTTTTATTACAAAAACATAAAATATCGTACCCTTTTCATTTAATATTCCGAGAATACAAATATTTTTACAAAAAAGGTTTTTTTAAATAACTTCAAATTTAACAAAATGTATTTCGGCTCCAAAGATATTGAATAAAAATAATTGGTAAATTAAATTTAAAAAAGGCCTTTATCTAAAGTTCCTTTGAGATGTAGGAAAAAGAATGTTTAGTAGGAGCTAGAAGAGATATGATTTTTGGACATTGATACATTTTTGGAGGCAAATTGATTATTTTATTCAACTTCTGAAATACTAAATAAATAATTTCCTATGACATATTTTGCGTGGGAGTCATTCCCCTTAGCTGTCATCTTGTAGGGCAAAGTAGTGAAATTATCCTTTTAAGCAACCAATTTTAAACATGCATGCAAGAAATATATGTGGGGATATTTACAATCTTATAATCATGAACATATAGAGGTTTTAATAATGTATATTCATGTAAGAAAATAGTGGTATCTTTATCTCAGTAACCAGTATAACAACTTGAACCTTATGAATGATGAAGGTATCTGGGAATGTTGCCCTACAATATGACAGCTAAGAGGAATAACAACTGAGAAAAATATATATAATAAGAAAAGGGTGTATTGTAGACACATTTACCTAGTTTTTCTAGTTCCCTTTTATCAATTATTGACAACATGGTGTTTTTGCTAAGAAGAATTAGTGTGTGAAACCACAACTTTTCTTCCTCTTTGTTTCTGTTTTCTTTAGCATAAATATCTACAAAAAAAATGTCTAAAAACTGAATTGAGCAATCAAATGTCACCATTCTGTTTATGAATTTTTTCTTTTTTCGCAAGATTTTTCTAAGAACCATGCCTCATTAATCAAAGTTCATGTAGATTTTATAGAAAAAATAGTAGAAAATGAGGATTATAAGTTATAAGGTTGATTTCATTTCTTCCTTTGCCTATTTCTGGTCGTAGGTGAAAATGTTCTTGTTTTCTGTGAATGAAAATCTGTTAGAGCAGCGATGAATAAATTCCTTTTAACATCTCGGAACACGAAAACAGACGACTTATATTAATTTGCTCTTAATCCTAGATGAAAAATCGAACGAAGGAAATTATTAGGAAAAGAAAGAGTTTTAAGATTAAACCACTATCCTCATCTTTTAGATTCTTCTTTTTTCTTTATTTTTGTTTCACTTTGATTTAAATCAATGAGATTGCGTTATTTGTATAAAAGGGAAGTAAATTTTAAAAAAAACATAGACAGAACGCTAAACAAAATAGTTTGTTAAAATATCTTGCTCATAAACACAGTATATATGTCCGCTTCAGGTGGACCTCTCGCAAGGACGGGAAAAAAAGAAGTTTGTATGTCAATTAAAAAAAAAATTTGATTTAGATAAATTTATCTACAGAAAAGTTTTACATCTCTTACTGCTGAATAAGCAAACAAAATAGTACATTGTTGAAAGTATATCATTAGCGACATGTATTGAGAGATAAAATTCAAATACACTTTATATTTCAATTGGATTTCGGCTAAATTCTGCTCTGATGTCGTAGCCAACAATTTTTTGTGAGGAAGATGAGAGCTTGCACTTTTTACAATGTAACGTACTTATCAACAAGAAATGCTTGAGCAAGAAACTTACTTGAGCATAAAAAAATGGTCAAAATTTATTTAATCATGGTAACGTTTTGAAGATGCTATTCGACCAAAGAGATATACAAAGAATATGGGCGCATTTGGTGTGTGATCTGCAGAAATTATTTGTACGAAACATTTATGGTTTAAATGTTCATGATTTGGTTGGCTGAACAGCTTGTCAGAGTTTACAAAAACGTCCATAGGTTTTTTTCAATTAGTTTGAAAGTGTGATATTGTAACATTTTTGTCCGTTTTCCCTTGGGGGGTACTATAACATAGTAATGTTTAATCACAAAAAATAAACACCTAAAATATTTAATGCATATAGATGCATGATATGTTTACATGTACATTATATAGAATAGAAGATTAGAATTGATTTCGCTCGAGAACCACTGAACCAAAATTAATCTAATTCAAAATTTTAATATATCAGTACACATAAAACGAAACTGACAAAATAAATGGTCGTTTGCAAGAAAAAAGATTAACGCCCCGTGCCAGGCTCGAGCCAAAAATTTCCATTAGCAGTGCACTGAACAGGTAGCCCAACTTACTGAGCTATCACCGCTTCATATAAACAATTGATTTTAAAAAGACAAAGAAGCACCACGTTCACGCATTTGGAATTTTGGGGGGAAAGTTCGTTTTTCGTGGTCTCTGGGTCTTCTCTCCATTTTTAAAAAAAGTGTATTCGTTTCTTTGAAATAAAATACACACAAATAACGTTTCAAAATCATGGAGAGAAGACCCAGAGATAGAAAAAGTTTAGAAAAACGTGTTTAAAAATGTACGTTTGTACCAAATGTCTGATCTGGCCAATTTTCGAGTTATTTTTTAGTAAATCAAAGCTCAATTTCGGGAAAATATTTTCATTTCCTGTTCCACAG